CGGGGGATGGTGTTTACCAACAGGATAATGCACCATGTCATAAGGGTCGAATCGTCATGGATTGGTTCGAGGAACAATCCCAACTTGACCCCCAAATTCACCTGACCTTAATCCAATAGAGCATTTGTGGTCCTACTTGGAAAACCAAATTCGTGTTGCCACGCTACCTCCTCGCAATGTGAGGGAATTGCAGGACCAGTTGGTGAGCGCTTGGTACCAGATATCTCAGACTGCCTATCAGCACCTTGTGGAATCAATGCCATGGCGGTTGCTAGCAATTTTGAGGGCTGAAGGTGGTCCTACATGTTATTAGCAGGGTGGTTATAATGAAATGGCTCATCGGTGTGTATATATATATTATGGAAGGAATCAGTCGAAAGCGAATGGGGGAGGGGTATAAAGCATGTTTGAGACAGTAACATTTAATAACGTATTTCATTTTGTTATTTGACAATGTAATGACAAGTAGATATTGAGTTAAATTAAATTTTATAAATTAGCAATATTAAGAAATTTTAATTTATTTTATTAATATACAATGCCATGAAAAATAAACAGTCAAAAATTTATGAATGGTAAACATAGTAAGAAAAGAAATATTTATTTAATAAAATCTTATATGCATATAGTAAAAAAAAACCCAACAAGTTTAATTTTATTAAGGAAAAGCACAACAAAAAAGAGCAATGACTTAAATTTTATTTATAAATAAACTAAAAAATAATTTTAAAAAATGTGTTTAATATTTTGATAAGCAATGCTATAAAACAGGCCATATTTTTAATATTCTTAATTAAAATGCAAAAAATATATTTTATTTTAATTTTAAACAATTTAACGAGATAAAAATAATCAGTTGAATTTTATTAACGAACCATATAAAAATATGAAAAGTATTTAATCTGAACAATGTAAGAAAATATAAACTGTATACTCTTGTTGTATAAGCTTCAGTTAAATAATGTGTGCCTTATCAAAAATGTACAATGTATTCAATTTTATAAATGAATAATGCCAACAAAACAGTTATGGAACCAAAAAAAATAATATATTTTAAAAAATGAATAGTATATTGGCAAAGCAAATAGTCCTTATTCATAAAAATATATTCAGGTTATGAAATTTATCAAACTTAACGCTTAAAAATTTCCTTCTTTCTATAAAAGAAAAAGAAAATATTATTTTGACAGTGGAGGCGATAAGAGTGATAGCCACTAAATCAGCGATAGGGAAGAGAAGGCGATCGATACTCGATGGCTTCAGAATCTAAAATGAATCATTAACCTTTTATGCCACTATGTTGCATAGCTGCAGCAAACACAAATATCATAAGTATTTTCAAAAGAGAATTTCGAAAGACGATATCGGCATTTATTGCATTCTCTCAACATTACTCTTAACGCATATTTTTCTTTTTTTTTCTATTACATTCCCTTACTGAGCTGATTTTAAAAATTGAAGTTATTTCACGAATTTTAAAATTGATTTTTTTAGAATAGAAATGGATGTATTGAATTGAAATTTTTGAATCCGAATCCGTATCTTTATGTTATTTTTTTATATAATGTTCCAGAAATGAAATATTTAATGTTTTGCCATTGCACATAAAATCTCTCTCATTCTGTTAAACCAAATCGAAAAATGTTATTTTGACAGTGGAGGTGATAAGAGTGATGACCACTAAATAAGCAATAGACAGAGAAGGCGATTGATACTCGATGGCTGCTGAGTCTAAAATGAATCTTTAACCCTTTATGTCGCTCTTTTGCATATCTGCAACAAACACAAATATCATGAGTATTTCCACGATCGAATTTTGAAAGATAATGTCGGCAATTATTGCAATCTTGTAACATTACTCTTAACACACTTTGTTCATTTTTTTCTACAACAAAGCGACGCTGAGGTGATTTTTTAAATTCAAGTTCTTTCAAGAATATTACTCAGATTGAAACTTTTAGAATTGAAATGAATGAATTGAATTGATTGAATTGCAACTTTTGAATACGTATCTTTATGCAGTTTTTTGTAACGTTGCAGAAATTAAACATCCAATGTTTTGCCCTTTTGCATAATGTTTGACATTGTTCGAAATTTTTAGGAAAAAATAGCTAAATAGCAATTAATTTAGTTGTTACGTTTCCATATTCAAGCGAAGTAATTAAATAACCATAAATACGAGGATATTTAAACTGTTAACTGTGAGAAAATCGTATATTAAGTGTTTTCACCTAATACGGTTAAACAATTTAAATTTTATCACACCAACTAAACCCACTTAATGAAGCAATTTAGTTCCTGAAAGACGTGTACCACATATAGTTGAGAGGGATAATCTGTAGACAAGACTAATTGAACAGGGGAGTTGCCATCTCAATATTTCCTCATTCCCTTCAACTCATGAAGAGTTTTTAGTGTCCTGCAATGCCCAATTTGATAACCCTGGGTTATTAGAATACGATACTCTCCTTAACGCATGGATGACAGTACCTTAAGGCTGCTAATCTCTCTGCAATGTCCAGTTAATTTGCTAACGGTTTTGGAACCCTGCTCGTTGTAAATGGTTAAAAACCGTATAGTTTTGAAATCATGACTTTTTAACCATACTTGTTGTAAGCGGTTTAAAATCGTAAAGGTAAAAACGTTCTTTATCTCAAAATTTACTGTTAATTGGATGGACAGACAGCTGCCGGTAATTTTGCCATAATTTTGGAATAAAAATTCTAACAATGTTGAAATGCAACAAACCATTTTTTTCATAAAATTTTTAATCTTATAATGTAATTTTTTATAACTCTTTATGTGCTTAAAATAATGTATTAGCAATTTTTTTCAATTCAGAGGTACTGAGTTATGAATAAACCTGCTCCAAAAGGAATCATCAATGTGTCGTTGGGGTTCTGCTGTACCACCCTCTTTAGATTCTAACTTACTGGGTATTTTAACGCAAACTACATCTGTTTTATTCTCTTCAAGTAATTCATAAATAACATCGAAAGAAAGAGTTGGAAAACCACTCGGAATATCTAAAGTTTCCGTGTAAGTATAATCTTTGTTCTTCTGTACAGGGCAAGATATGCCACTTTTACAACCGTTCGTATTGTTTAAAGGTATATTGACTCTTCTGGTATTAAATAATATTGCTGAACACTTTGCTGTAATTGATTTTGACGGTACTTTTGATTTAAATTTTATCGTGATTGTTTGCTCTTCTCCCATTATAAGATCACAACGATAGTCTTCTTTGCATCCAGAAACATCAACGCTTTCTACAGTTCCAGACACTGATCCACAATCTTCGTAATATGTGGCCTCAATGCTTAATGCAAGCATGGACAATAGAACACTAACAAATCTCTTCATATTTCTAAAATAAAAACAATTATAATGACTTAGTATTTTATTTTGGATTAAAAAAGAGTATATGCACAAAGCATTTAAATATTTTTTTTATTCAATTCTCAAGATTTCGCAAATTTACACTAGATTTGTATGCTCTCATACGTAAGATTTGAAGCACTTGTGCTTGCTCATCTCATTTTTTTTTATCCTAGATTTCTTTACATATTGTTTGCATGGTTTTACAACGATGCAACACACTGTTCAATTGTTTTTCTCTATCTTCGAATAAACAACATTGGCAGATAGATCAAAGTATATAGATCATGGCAGATATATCAGGACGCAAAATAAAGATGAAGGATTCGTTATTACAAAATGATAAAATGAATCTTGTGAATTTAATTAAAAATTGAATTATATTGGTTTTAGTTTAAAATAATGGTTGTATAATTTTAAAAGTTTCATAAGAAACTAAATATTTTATTCATTTTTGAAATTACAGACATATTCACTGCAATTATGCATTTTCATTGGAAGAAGTTTTAATTTCAAAATATCCACCATTGAAATGCTTGTTTTGATTTTGTGGTCAAAGTTAAGATGACATTCCACTACGTTAGCGTTGTTAATTTGCAGATTTTTACGAAATCTCTTAATTTCTATTACATAAGTTTGCTACTTTTCACGGGTGCCTGCGTATTTTACCTGAATTGACGCATGCGCACTTGAAGGTAGCATGAGCAATTACTTCAAATATTACGCATGGGAGCGTGCGGAAAGTAATGCCAAATCGCGAAATTTCCCTATTATAAGCATAAATTATGCCATTAGTACATAGTAAAACTAGTAGATTTTACAGTCAAAGTAAGAGTTAAAATTAGGTATTGTATTCGTGATGAAACCCATGTACATTTAACATTCGAGAAGGTGAAAAAAATGTAACTTTAGAAGACATTAACATATATTGCTTAGAATTTTTTTAGTTATTCTTTTAAACTTGCATTGTTCTGATAAAATCTTTAGTCCTCTTTATTCTTATAAGCAAACAATGTTATTTTATTATTCATTTTAGTCTTATGTGTTCAATGAAGAGATGAATGTAAGCCACCTATTTTCCTTTTTTTTGTTTAACCACATTTAGTTTCGAACAATGAAAGCTTTGTGAAAAAATAATATATTTTCCTCTTTACAAATTGCTTTTCTACATCTTGAAAGATCTTCTACAGTTTTAAGCAAGTAAAATGCCATGGAAAATCGAAAATGGAAATAACGTGGGAAAACAAAATGCTTAAGCAATAATGTATAGCTTAAAATCCTAATTTACGGAATTATAGTACAGTAAATGAAATTCTAATGTATTGTCCTATTTAGCTTAAAAACTCATGCCATATAAGTGTATGCCATATTTTTGTTATATCTACACCATTTTGTTTTAAATACATAATCTATTTTCATTGGCTTATTGGCTCGAATTTTACTTGATAATACGCCAAGTTTGAATTTTTCTCTGTATCTGTTTTTCAAGAACTTTCAATTTAGAACCTACTGCTTAGAGGTTGGGAGAAGTTCTTTGCCTGACTTTTAGTCTCCACTTAAAAATAACGGAATTTAGAGTATTAAAAATAAAATTTTTGGCTTCCATCTATTAATGCATATAGGTTGCTTGAATGGATGTTTTTGATTTTGAATTAAGGCCTTATCCATTATTTCTTCACACACTGATAAAATCACATGTTTGACAATTTCTTTTCTCTTGTTTCATTGTTGAAAAAAAGTCTACCGAAAAGTAAATAAAGTTAATTTTGTATTAAAACATCAAAGATAAAAAAATATACCGACACAATTTTATAAGTAAATAAAATGTTATCAAATTTTTTTTCCAGTGTATTAAGGCTATGAGGGTAATTAGAGTATTAAGCTATACATAGCAAAATACAAAAATTGAGCGGAATCGGCCGAAAAGTTCTTAAAAAAATCGAATTCTAAAGGAATCTATTTTTGAAATTCGATTTTTCAGATTCGATACAAGCGATTTCGCTCAAATGTTGCATGATGCCCTGACTGCATTATATAAAATTCTGCAAAGCAGTAACTGTAATTCAAAATGTTTTCGACTAATTTTATATAAAATAATAAAAATAATAAATATTTACTGAAAGTCATTTTTTTGCACTGAATTACCTATGGATAAATGGCTTTTACAATTATGTGCAAAAAGTTTTCTATTCGCCTAAAATTTTTCCGAAATATGGCAAAACACGCGAAAAATAAAATTAACATCATGTGGTACAAACTTAGGATAGTTTTATTAACCAAACTAAAGGGACCATATTTTTTCAGACAGCGGCTACCTCCTATATTTTGGGGTAAGAAAACAGAGTTCATTGAAAAAAAAAAGAGTATGTTCATTCAGAGGAAATACGTTTTTAAGTCTGATTTCGTAACTTGAAATATAGCCTGCTCTAATTAATTAATTAGCATATTTGAGGTCACTCCCTTGAACCATAAAGATTGAGTCGGAAAGATTCTTCATTAGATTAAAAGTTGTCCAGGGGTGTTCAATTTTTTTTTTGTTTTTTTTTTTTTTNTTTTTTTTTTTTTTTTTTTTTTTTTTTTTTTTTTTTTTTTTTTGCTTTTCTGCAGCAAACTTGATGAATATTACACGCGATAATAGATAATGAACAAAATCTTCAAAGAATAAAACTGGAGCCGCGATGACTCAGGGGATAAAGCGTTCGCCTTCCAATGAGGTGAACCGGGGTTCGATCTCGGCGATGACTGGTCGATACGAATTCCGCATCCGGCTTGCACCGACCACAGAGCTGACTTGAAATATCCTCAGTGGTAGACGGATCATGGGTTAGAGTCCCCTTGCCGTCGGTATAACCGTGAAGGTTCTCGTGGTCTTCCTCGCCATGTAGCGCAAATGCGGGTTAGTTCCAGCAAAAAGTCCTCCACGAAGGCAAAATTCTCCCAATACTTGATACAGGAGTTCCCTTGTCTTCTGGATTGGGTTCAAAATTACAAGGTTATGAAGTTGAACATTAGCAGTCGTAAACCCAAAAATTGGGTCGGCTGTTCAATGACGGTTATAAAATATAAAAGAGAAATAAAATGAATAAAGCTGAGGGTTGGGATAGCCTGGTTGGTAGGGAACTGGGCTCATTTCCAAGAGGTCGCGGGTTCAATCTCCGGCGGCAGAAGACTCCCTTTGTAGTAAATGGTGACTAATGCACGTTAAATCTGTCTGGTTGCAAAGTCTTCGATATTCCCTTAACAATTGATACCTCAGGGAATACTGATCTAGGAGTTTACTTGTCTTCTGGATTGGGTTCAAAATTGCAAGGTTACGGCTATGCAACGACGGTTATAAATATAAATGAATACAACTTCTTCAATATTCACGCATCGAAACAGTGTAAATCTAAAATATCCTCAGTGGTAGACGGATTATGGGTTAGAATTCTCCTGCCATCAGGCTAACAGTGGGAGGTTTTCGCGATTTTCCCACCGTGCAAAGCAAATACAGGGTAGTTCCATCAAAAAGCCTCCAACGAAGGCAAACTTCTAACAATCGATCTTGTCTTCTGGATTGGGCTCAAAATTTTAATGCCGCAAAGTTGAGCATTGGTAGTCGTAAACTCAACAAATTAGGTAAGCTATTCATCGACTGTAATAAAATAAAAAAAAATAACCTAAATAAAACTAACTGTTGGTATTAAAGTCAAATGTAACCCTGTTTAGCAAGTGTGCATGGAAAAAACGCTGTATTCATTGAATATATTGCTCATGACTGACTGAGTTTTATGTGAGATGAATTTTTTGTAATGTTTAACCATAATCTAATGTAATGCATCATCTGTAGTTATTGTTAATACACATTCGTTTCTATATTTATAACAATAACTTCTACATTACGAACTAGTAGTATAAATAAACGCAAATTTTACTTTGCAATCTCTTTATTTACACAAACTAACATATTTGATGCTTTTGTTTGAAAAAGAGAAAATGAAAGAAGTTAAAAACCAGTAATAAGATGAATATAAATAACCAAAACGTATATAAATGAGGAAAGCAATTTTAAATACTGTTAACTATAACAAGATAAGCATCTGATTGAAATAAATTAATTGACTAACTTTTATAAAATCGACTTTTATCATATTTTTGTCAAGTTGTGGAAGTATTTTTAAAAACTCCAGAAAAAGTATTATGCATAATGTATTAAAATTCCACTAAGTTGATTATGTATAAGGAGAATTTGTTATTATCAGAGTAAAAATATCTTACCCAATTCAATGAAGTACTATAGAAGTAAACAGGCAGTTCTATGCTCTAAAAAACTTAGAGCTGAATTTTTAGTTGCTTTTTTGTCTTCGTTTTTGTAACAAGTAGATTGAATCTTTTTTTTTCTTATTTTTATACTACGCATAGTCATCAGAATAATTTATCAAGTAGTTCGTAACAAGTCCATGGAAACAATTTATACCTTATAATTTAAAGATATAAATGAGGAAAGATTCATTTGTCACTTAGAAAAGCTTCTATTTTATATTTTGATACTTATTTAAAGTCTGCAGATAATTATATTTTACTTTCATGAGAAGAATCCAACTAAGGAGCATGATTATCATTATTTTATCGATTTATCACAGAACATTCAGCAAAGAAATTCCACTGAATAACCTTGTGTGTTTTTAAAAGTTGAAAGTAGTTTTTTTTCTTCCAAACTATACGCTTTATCGTTAACGTTTGCTACTTGTTTTGCATCCAATTAATTGCTGTTTTCATATCAACTTTAATATTATGCAAATATTTGAAAGACGGTTATTGTAAACACAGTTTACATGCGTAGTATCTTGAAGCCAGATTTAGTAAAAATCATGATTTTTAAAAAATAAAGAAATAAAAAAATTGGATTTCTTATTTAAATTGGATTTATTTCATTCAGATAAAATTTTTTTGCATTTACCAAACAAAGAATGTGATGAAATGTATTATGAATACTTAATTTTATTTAATATAATAGCCAATATAATATAATAACTAAAATCGTACTATATCTGACTAAAATTTTTAAAATATATTTATTATTAAGCTATAAAATTTATAATAATATTTAATAGTAATTTTTGCTTTTATATTTTAGCTCATAAGCTTCATTAATTTTTAGGATAGGAAAGCAGTTTGTGAATTAGATATCCAGTTAAAAGTGTTCAATGAAGTTTCGTTAAATAAACATCGGTGATAAAAATATTTATGTTACTCTGCCAGAATAAGTGTTTCTTTTTTATTGATATTCACTAATTATACATTTAATATGTTTCAAAAGCATTTCTTATTAATTAAACAGAAATAAATGGGTACAATTCAAATATGTTCATATTAACAGCCAAATTATTTTTCAAGCATCTCAATAATTTAAAAAATTCAAGAAACTTCTATACAGTTTCTCTTTATTATTTAATATCGTACTTTAAAAGAAGTCATAATTTAAAGAGTATGAGCTCTGTTGTATGAAAAATATTTTAGACTGAAAATAATGAGCAGTTCTTAAAAATAAGTTTAAAGTAATGATTATTTTTTAAAAAAAATCACAGTTGATTTTAATCGACTGTGTTTTTAAGAAAATCAAATGATTTAAATTTTGATTTTAATCATGCCAACTTTGTTATAAATAGATTAAAAAAATTTTCGCTTGCTTCGTTCTGAGTAAGAAATGAGAACATTTAGTCTCATCGAATTGAAATATTAATTAAAATGTTCGTCAAGATATGGTGTGCTAAAAATAACAGAAGGTTATTATTTTCAAATCAATACAAGTATGAACAATGCAGTTGCAGTTTAAGGACCAAATCAACATACATCTGGGCTAATATTTCAGTGGGAATGCTTCGAAATATTATAGTTTTCCTGTTTAGTATTTGCTATCTGTTGATGACAAGCTCAGCAGCTATCTTTAAACTTTGATGAGAATAGAGATGTCTATGTCGGAAACTGAACTCAGTATTCCACTATCACTCATTCAATTTCTGTTTGCACTATTCCTATTGGGCGATTCGTATTCCTATACGAATAGAAACTTGTATTCCTATTGGTTGCATCTGCATCTAATTAATCATTGATGTATTTCCAGTGGACAGGTAAGTGACGTCAGCTTAGACATCTCTATAATTTAAGTTGCGCTTTTCAGTTCTATTAGGGGGACCGGAAAGTAGCGTCGTTCGGCGCATTGAATATTCGTTAGCTTTAAAAACCAATTCAATTTTTTTTATATCCATTTTAATTTATTTTCGCTTCGGCATTGAAAGGTTGTTGCTAACGAGGGTGAATACATTATTAATTAAAAATAAAATCTTGATAACAAATATCAAATGCACAGAAACGACATTACTTTCCGGTCCCCCTAATATTAAATTCAGTTTTTATTCATTTGATTTTTTAATAGAATTCATTTCAATAGCAGGAAATATATAAATATATTTTGAATAGCAGGAAAAAAGGATGGTTTAACAAATATACATAATGTATTTAATGTCAGATTGCCAGATTGAACAGAGTTTTTAAAGGATTATCAAGTAAATAACAATTAATACAATTCGAGAATAAATAATAAAAATATAAAGCAGAGAATTAAAGATATAAAGTGGAATAGAGTTATCCAATACGTAGCCACTTCTTCAATTTTACAAAAAAAGTTTTCGTCGAAAAAAGTACTACTTCCATGTCAGCAATGAATGTTTCTGATCATGATCTTATGAAGTCTCTCTTAGTAAAAATTCGGGCAGTTTGTTTGTAAAAAATTTATAAAGAAAAAATAATACGGAACAGTTCGGTGTAAAAATGTCCCTTTTTGAGAAAGTGAAGCTTATCGCTATATTGCTTAGGTTTAAAATTGGAAAAAATATGTTTTATTACTTCCAATTTTTAGATTTTAAACAGATAGAAGTTGTGTTATGAACTAAGACTTTTTCATTTCTTATCAAGTGATAATCGTAAGTGATGTCTAACGACACGCAAAAATTCTTTGATTAATTCAGAGTTTTTGAGCATTTTTTTGGGAATTAAAATGAGAAAAAAAGTACAGTAAGAATTACTTGAATATGGTAAAATAAACTATGTTTCTGGCTCTTTGGGAACACCAAAATGCTCGGTAATTTTTACTGAAGTACTTAAGTAATTTTTGGTAAAATTAACTGTAAAATATGGTTTTATAATATTTGATCACTTTTGATAGATTGTAGTAAAATTTGGTAATTTTATCATGATACCAAAGAGCATGGTATTAAAACTATTTATTCAGTTAAAATTACTTTTCAGTTAAGCAGTTTTTCCTATATGTGTGGTAATAAGAGCTGCAATTCTGACAAATAGAATTTCCTGTCAATCTTTCACAAGCGAATGATTTAAATACCGTATATTTTGATTTTACTAATCAAACTTATGTTTTTTACCCAGAAATGCAATTGTCATATAATACGTTAATATAATTTTACCATAATCTTTCCTCTGTGTGCTCTCAGAGACAAATTTCTCAATTTATGACGATGCTGTAACCTTAGAGCTGTATTTCATTATTTGTAACAATTATTTTATAACGAAATCACGTGATTTTTGGTGAAACTTGAACTTTCAAATATTTGATGTCTTCACTCGTATGTCGTCTAATTGCTTTCTGATGGGAATTCACCAACTGTTTTTTTATTTAACCTTTTATTTGTCATTAAGACCATATTTCCGAAATGTCGAATTGATATGAGTGATTGTGCACTTTTTGTTTAATCAGGTTTCGCGAGTTCAAATCCAGGCGATTACTGATTACGCATTTAATAATTCTCCTTTTAACTTAATTGTGCAATCAATAAAATGCATTAAGTCTTATGTTTTTGACTAAATTCGCATTTCTAAACAAAAGAATAAATTTCTACTTGAAGATTTTGAGTATTTCTCGGGAGAGGAATTCGTCAAGAACTGAGAAAATTTCGTCAATTTAATATGACCTTCAATATGACGAACAAGGTAGATCGTTCTTGCAGTCAATCTTTATAGTTAAACGTATATTGATTTTTTCCAAACTTCCCCCCCCCCCTGTGTTTCTGAACAATTTTGTAATGCGTGAACTACGCTTAAATTAAATTTTAGCTCATTTTTTTTATTTTCATTATTTCATATTCACGCATTATTTCATCACTTTTGAGGTTACTTCCTCAAACCTTTAAGATTGAGTCTTAGAACGTGAAGATCCGGTCATTAGATTAAAAGTTATTCATGATGGTTCATTTTTTTAAAGCACTGCACAATGCACGGGCAAAAGAATAAAATAAAATAAATGAATAAATAAAAAGGATTACTTTAAATGACTTTTGATTTAATATTCGAATCGTCACGGTCTAGTGCAGATTTTATTTTACGTAATGAAATCAGTCGCAAAGCCGTGCTTTCTCTTTTTTAGATGTATTCGGATTTCTGACCTTCAAAGAAGTCCCATTTTTTACATTTGATTTCTCAGGAACTATTTGACCGATTTCGCTCAAATTTTGTAATTTGCCATCGAAAATTACATTCTTCAAAATGCACCTTACCTTATACCTCATAAATAAAAAAAAACCCATAAATAAAAAAAATTAATATTTATTAAAAATTGTTTTTTTTGCATTATCTTAGGATAAACGTATTTTAAAATTGTGTGCGAAAAATTTTTTCGATTTGGGTAAAAAAATTTCTTGAGAGATGGAAAAATATGCAAAAAGTAAAATTAACGTAACCAAACTTTGAACCCTTTCTTCTGATTAAATTATTGGCATATTCCAGGTCATCCCCTCAAACCATTAAAATTGAGTCCTAGAATGGGAAGGTCCATACATTAGATAAAAAGTTATTCGGGGTTATCCGTTTTTTCTTTCTTTTTTTTTGCGTATTGTACAACTACCTGAAACAGCGGAGCGCGTATTGTACTCTTTTCCACCAACCCTATCTGTGAGCAATTTCTCCTCGTTTTACCATATGTTTTTATTAGCATGGTTAGTTTTTGTATTCAGGACCTATAAGTTTGTTTTATTTTGAATATTTCCCCTTAACTTTATTATACTATACGTTATTATACGTTTTTTGTGTGTTTCGTCTTTTTATGCATAATTTCCTGGATGTCATGCAGATTTTTTAAATAACATTTGCATATAGTTAAATAATATTTTTAAATTTATGCATTGAACCATCACTAAAGAAAGCAAACCAGAAAATGCGCATTTTCTAAATTGAAATTAACTGAAACGAAAGGAGACTAATATTCATAAACGAGTTCCCGAGTATTAAAAAAAAAGAAAAGAATTGAGTGGTTTTAAAATTTTGACTATTAAATGTTCTCCGAAATAACGTACTTTTAAAATAATAATACTGAGTAATTAAACAACGTACTTAAAATAAGTAGACTAAATCTTCTAATTTGCTTTCCATTTAAATGACTTAGGGATTGGAGATTGTTGTGCATTTAATAATATACTTTAAAATATTTGTTGCTCACGGCGCTCTTTTAAAAGATTTGTCAAATATTGTATACATACTCTATGCATTTGCCTTATTTATGCGAGCATAAATTTAATCTTCGTATGTTATTGTGTACTTATCAAAACCCTTTAATAAGTCTTTAGACAAATTTACGCTGTGACAGCGAAGTTATATTGTTAAATACTTTTATACTTTAAATTTAATCTGCTTACGAATATAATTACGCAACACAATTCATTAATTTAGTTAAACTAATGGAATGCTTATCAATTGAAGCGACACATATTAAAAGAAATAATTTGTTATCAGATTAAACGAATAATTGACAGTTCTCTAAGCTGTTTGGTTAAATTTATTTTAAGAGTAATTTAAAAAATAGGTTGCAAATAATAGAAAATATTATCTCCAGCTAGTATTCTCTTCACATGTGACAAAAATCTAAATTCTAACTTTAACGAAATGAAAAATATTGCTTAGAGATTCTAATAATATTCTTCTAGAGATTCAAATAATAGTTCAAAATTAGCTCTTGTATATTTTATTGCCTTTTTTCTGTCTATTGTTTAAGTTTGTCACAAATAACAATTCCCGTTCTATATAATTAATTAACATTAAGTAAAATAAACTATGTTTCTGGCT